TAGAAAAGAAGAAACATCACTTCAAAACATGTGGGGCACAGCAAAAGCATATATCTGAGGACTAGCAATAACATATATAGCAAGAAGAAACAAGAAAAAAACAACAGCAAAATATACTACAAGACGAGCTCAAAAGACTAGAGTTAGACCTACAGAAAGATCTGCAAAAAACAAAATAAAAGAGAAAAGGGACTTAATAAAACAGATTGAATTTAGTAGTACAAGATGAAATGGCACAAAACGTCAAAATGGTGAAACAAATTTTTTTGAATGTGCAAATAAGCCAGGTAGATGGCTAGCATATAAGCTAAAAAAAGAAAAAGAGAAGAAAATAATACACCAATTGCAAGATGAGAAGGGAACTCTTTATCATCAGAACAAGGATAAAAAGAAAATATCCCAGGAATTATTCAGGAAATTGTATAGCCAAGAAAATATATCAGAAGGCATTACTAAAAAATACTTGGAAAAAAATGGTCTAACCAAAATAACTGACACAATGAGAATAATGTTAAATGAAAGAATGACGACAATGGAAATAACAGAGGCAATTGAGAAACAAAAATCAATAAAACTCCTGGCCCAAACGGCCTCCCCGCAGAACTGTACAAAAACATACAAGAATCATTAGGACNTGGCTGTGTTTATTGTTTAATGTTATATGGTCCCGGTTATGCACAGTATATATGTGACTGTACGAAATGAAAATGGAAAATAAAACACATTTACACTAGATTTCTATGGTCTGCCCGCATGTTCATCCAGCACGTCTTCCGGCTACACGGCCTACACGATCGGGTTGCATCGGACCGTGGGAGGCAGTTCACGGCCCAGTTCTGGAATGGGCTGATGGAGGCTCTGGACTTCCAGATTTGTTTGACCTCGGCGCACCATCCTGAAACTGACGGGGGGACGGAGAAGGTGATCGGGATCTTGGATCAGTACCTGCGCTGCGCTGCTTCGTGAATCAGCAGCAGAACAACTGAGTGGACTACCTGGCCGTGGCGGAGTTTGCATTTAACAACTCGCAGCACACCGCCACGCGGACAACGGCCTTCATGGCTAATGTCGGGTATCACCCTCACTTTTTCCCTCTTACCCCAGTGGCCTTCCCGGTCCCCGCAGCACAGGACTTCTTCTTGGAGCTCCAGGCGGTCCACAAAGTGGTGCGCCGCTATCTGAATCAAGCTAAAGAGGACTACAAGAGGGTGGCAGATAGGTCTCGGCGTGCGGTGCCGGAGTTGGCGTGGGGGATCGCGTGTGGCTGTCCATGTGGCATCTTCCGTCCCACCGGCCAGCTAAGAAGTTCGACCACCGGTATCTTGGGCCGTTTCCGGTCGAGGCCATCATCAACCCGGTGGCCTATCGCCTGACCCTGCCACGCTCAATGCGAGTACACCCGGTGTTCCATCGCTCACTCCTGATCCCTGATTTAAATCTTGGCTTGTCCTCTCCACCCACCTTCTTCACCCCAGCCATCACCGCATGATGTGGAAAAGCAGCTTACACACGAAGTGGCCCGGATCTGGGACTCGAGATGGCTAAAGGGACGATTCCAGTACTTGGTGGACTGGAAGGATGATGGGCCGGACAGGGGGACTTGGGCCGATGCGACGGACGTGCACGCCCCCGCTTTAGTGCAAGCCTGCCATGCACAATATCCCTCAAGGCCGTACCCCGAGCATCAGACCCAGGGGAAGGCCCCTGCGGTGAGGGATATTGTTGTGGCCCAGCAGGATCCGGTTGAGCTGCTGATGGACTTGGATAGCGAGGAACCATATGAGTCTGCCCTGGATGATATGGAGGACCCTGGGCAGGGTTCAGACTCAGAGCAGGGACCAGAGAGGCTAGTTGGCCATCAGGAGGTGCCTGAGGCAAGGAGCAGTGGGGAGGATCAAAGGCAGTTTGTCCCTGATGCTTGGTTGAGAAGGGCTGAGAAACGGAAGACGCAACTCCGTAGACAGTCTCATAGAAGATAATGAAGCACAGGTGGTTTTGGATTGGCCCCTCCCAAGAGGGTTTTTAAGTGAGGCATTGGGAGGGGTCATTTGCAGGAAACAACCGTTCGAACTAGTATTGAAGAAATCTGTCTGTATTCTAGCCATGTCATGTGGATTATCTGCAGTGCTTCATTTGAACTTTCTGGGTTGCTGCCAAGTGATTATCTTGAACATGAGTTGCCTGGGCCCTCAGCCCAAGGATTTGTTATCTCATTAATTAAATAGTGGCAAACAGCCAAGCCTGTGTTCTGGTTTATTCTCAGGCCGGGGGGGGGGGTGTCAGAACAGTAACCTATTAGAATACCCTAAAATCGGGAAGTTGTACTTGTCTCTAGCATGTCAGAAGAAGAGAGGGATAGCACTGTACAGCAGAGAATTGTTAAAACTAGTGGTGGGTTCCGGATCCTTTTGCAACCAGTACGGTTGCAACTGGGCTGGCATCCTCCACATGAATGCGCGCAGACCATGCACACATGCGTGCAGTGTGTGCATGCGTCTTACTGTCCAGCAATGTCTCCGTGAGCCTCCGCGACGCTCCAGCTGCTTGGCAGATCATCGTGCAGGCGCTGTACGCGCCATGTCCGTGCGCGGAAGCACCGAAGAGTTTAAAGACAGGTAAGGAGCTCAGGCGGGCAGCTGGGCCCTCCGGAGCACTGTACCGGAACAGTACCCGGTGCTCCAGGCAGGCTCCGGTACGCCCGTACCAGGGCGTACCTCCAGCAACCCACCACTGGTTAAAACCCAAACAAATATGTGGATGAAGAAGGAAGAATATTTTTTTATATATATATTATTATTATTTTTAAGTTATACATTTATATTTTGTGTGAACAGAGTTGGTTCTGGGTATCATTCATATTAGTCCAATTCACAATAACAATATTAGTAATTTCTATCACATTTCTCAAATTTAAGTAATCCTTATTATATTGTTCAAACATATATATTCAAAAAATGCCTAACTCCTCATCTTTATCCCTACGTTCATCTACATCTTTCTTGTTCTATCTAAACATTTCTCTATTATATATGAACAAATTTAACTAAGTTATATATATATATATATATATGTATATGTATATGTATATGTATATGTATATGTATATGT